TATCTGAACCCTTTCACGGCATGCGCTATTTAGTCTGATCCGGCCCTGATATGGATACTCAATTTGAACATTTTCTTGGTACGCCCTATTAAGATTGATCTAGCGCTCATGTGGCTACTGAATATCTGCATCCTTTTACGACATGCCCCATTTAGTTTGATCTGGCCCTCTGTATGCCTTATTAAGATCTATGTGGCTCTCATGTGGCTACTAAATATCTGAACCCTTTCACGGCATGCGCTATTTAGTCTGATCCGGCCCTGATATGGATACTCAATTTGAACATTTTCTTGGTACGCCCTATTAAGATTGATCTAGCGCTCATGTGGCTACTGAATATCTGCATCCTTTTACGACATGCCCCATTTAGTTTGATCTGGCCCTCTGTATGCCTTATTAAGATCTATGTGGCTCTCATGTGGCTACTAAATATCTGAACCCTTTCACGGCATGCGCTATTTAGTCTGATCCGGCCCTGATATGGATACTCAATTTGAACATTTTCTTGGTACGCCCTATTAAGATTGATCTAGCGCTCATGTGGCTACTGAATATCTGCATCCTTTTACGACATGCCCCATTTAGTTTGATCTGGCCCTCTGTATGCCTTATTAAGATCTATGTGGCTCTCATGTGGCTACTAAATATCTGAACCCTTTCACGGCATGCGCTATTTAGTCTGATCCGGCCCTGATATGGATACTCAATTTGAACATTTTCTTGGTACGCCCTATTAAGATTGATCTAGCGCTCATGTGGCTACTGAATATCTGCATCCTTTTACGACATGCCCCATTTAGTTTGATCTGGCCCTCTGTATGCCTTATTAAGATCTATGTGGCTCTCATGTGGCTACTAAATATCTGAACCCTTTCACGGCATGCGCTATTTAGTCTGATCCGGCCCTGATATGGATACTCAATTTGAACCCTTTCTTGGCATTCCCTATTAATATTGATGTGGTCCTTATATGTGGTTGCTTCGTCTGAACCCTATTTAGCCTAATCTGGTTCTAATGTGTCAACCCTTTAATGGGATAGTCAATTTATACTGATTTGTATATAATAAGTGTATATTCAATAACTTTATTTACCGAAATTGATATGTAATATGCGGGCACTAACGTAGATTATGATCACATTTGCGATTAGAATGGGTTTTTTCTGTATCGGCGTTTTATTCTCCGTCGCCTTCACTGAATCCTATCTGAGGCTTCAGCAGCAGAATGATGTTAACCGTTTGTAAAAGGTATACCGAAAAACTGGAAGCATTTACTTAACGACCTCGGCATAGTTAAAATTCCTGATTCCTTTAATTTATTAGATGGCCTGCTCCTCACTTTTCTTCGCCAAACTGCTTTCTAGATCTGTGTGAACTGTATTTTTACGAACAAGAAGAAAGATAATATATTTGCACTTCTTTTTTGTCTTATCATGGAGTAGAGAGAAATCCCTTAAAAATCTTTAGGTACATTAGGTATTGTCGAACGGTTTCGTTAAAGAAAATTGAAATTCAGGAACATATTTATTTTTTTCTGTGCTTATAAACTGCCGATGTAAAAAGAATCCTTAATTATTTTGGATTTTCTGGTATGAAAATTTCAGAATAGTCGTACATAAAATTTAAAATACCTACAAACAAACCACGTTTAGGGATGAGTAATCAGAATCCTTTAAGACAATACCCCATGTATCTCAGTTTCAAATTTCGATTCTTCATGTTCTAAAACTTTTTCGTCAAAAATTCCAAATCGATGTTCTTTTTGATATTATTTGGCATAAAATCAAAGCGACGGTGATGCATTAGAGGAAGGGATGGGAAAGTGGGGATTATGACAACTCATTTCCTTCAGCTACATGATTTATGTGATACAGTTCCTGTATTAAATGCTGTTGCAGTTATGTGGCTACTAAATATCTGAACCCTTTCACGGCATGCGCTATTTAGTCTGATCCGGCCCTGATATGGATACTCAATTTGAACATTTTCTTGGTACGCCCTATTAAGATTGATCTAGCGCTCATGTGGCTACTGAATATCTGCATCCTTTTACGACATGCCCCATTTAGTTTGATCTGGCCCTCTGTATGCCTTATTAAGATCTATGTGGCTCTCATGTGGCTACTAAATATCTGAACCCTTTCACGGCATGCGCTATTTAGTCTGATCCGGCCCTGATATGGATACTCAATTTGAACCCTTTCTTGGCATTCCCTATTAATATTGATGTGGTCCTTATATGTGGTTGCTTCGTCTGAACCCTATTTAGCCTAATCTGGTTCTAATGTGTCAACCCTTTAATGGGATAGTCAATTTATACTGATTTGTATATAATAAGTGTATATTCAATAACTTTATTTACCGAAATTGATATGTAATATGCGGGCACTAACGTAGATTATGATCACATTTGCGATTAGAATGGGTTTTTTCTGTATCGGCGTTTTATTCTCCGTCGCCTTCACTGAATCCTATCTGAGGCTTCAGCAGCAGAATGATGTTAACCGTTTGTAAAAGGTATACCGAAAAACTGGAAGCATTTACTTAACGACCTCGGCATAGTTAAAATTCCTGATTCCTTTAATTTATTAGATGGCCTGCTCCTCACTTTTCTTCGCCAAACTGCTTTCTAGATCTGTGTGAACTGTATTTTTACGAACAAGAAGAAAGATAATATATTTGCACTTCTTTTTTGTCTTATCATGGAGTAGAGAGAAATCCCTTAAAAATCTTTAGGTACATTAGGTATTGTCGAACGGTTTCGTTAAAGAAAATTGAAATTCAGGAACATATTTATTTTTTTCTGTGCTTATAAACTGCCGATGTAAAAAGAATCCTTAATTATTTTGGATTTTCTGGTATGAAAATTTCAGAATAGTCGTACATAAAATTTAAAATACCTACAAACAAACCACGTTTAGGGATGAGTAATCAGAATCCTTTAAGACAATACCCCATGTATCTCAGTTTCAAATTTCGATTCTTCATGTTCTAAAACTTTTTCGTCAAAAATTCCAAATCGATGTTCTTTTTGATATTATTTGGCATAAAATCAAAGCGACGGTGATGCATTAGAGGAAGGGATGGGAAAGTGGGGATTATGACAACTCATTTCCTTCAGCTACATGATTTATGTGATACAGTTCCTGTATTAAATGCTGTTGCAGTTATTATCCTATCAATTAACGAAAGAGCTAGACACATATGTGTTTAATATTGGATATATTTTGTAATGTAGATTAATTCTGCACATTATATGGGTAATGGTCATAGAAGTGAACTTGTGGTGTTATTAATTCATGCGGAATTAATTTATTTAGTCGCAGCTACATGCCGTACAAGAGAGAAATTCCATAGGCGTTTTTAAGAAAAACTGACCTTGTTGAATGAAGAAACTCTCGCGTTTCTTTGAAACAATTTGCAGCGAGTGGTAAAGGAACGACTGCCTTTTCCAACAAAGCAAACGACCGTATCGTCCGTCCAAGAAAACGGAATGCGATCACCTTTAAAACAGACTTGATTTGTCGCGACTATTACGCCAGTTACCTAGTAATGTATAGAAGTTTTTGACCTACGTTTGCAACACAATCCTAAATTATTAGGTATTTATCTGTACCTAGTCAAAATTTACTTTTCTTTTATATCTTTTTGGGAAAAAGACAGTAAATCATTGATGTTATTGTATGGAAATGCGAAATTTAGCCCAGGATAGGAAAGAGTGGAGGTATGTGTTCAACCAGTCTTAGGACTGACGACCTTATGATGATGATGATGATGAACGAGTCTGTAAGTTATTGTTAAATACTATGCTGTTGATGAGGAAACTAGACCAAGGACTTAATAGGATGAGCTTGTATTACGCTCAAAAGACTATCGTGTACCTCCCTACAAGAAAGAAGCAATCAGAATTCCATAAAAAAATTGGTAAAGGTTTTTGCTGCTAGTAAGTGAACTGATACCGTGGATAGAGGTTAGAAATGAAGAGATATGAAAAAGAATAGAAGTTTTAGTTTTATAAAAATGCGAAGATTGGATCAGGATAGGAAAAAGTGGAGGTGCGAGTCCAACCAGTCTTAGAACTGACGACCTTATGATGATGATGTATCTATAAGGAATAGTTAGAGGCATATTAAAACTCAAAACAGGAGTCATAAGGGGTAGAGGTAGAGCTAGATTAGATTTTGCTCGCAAATAGTTAAGGATGTGGGTTGTTTTAGTTTTAGGAAAATGCGAAGATTAGCTCAGAATAGGAAAGAGTGGAGTACATGTCCAACCAGTCTTAGGACTGATGACCTTATGATGATGAAGTGAACTGATACAGTCCTGATTCGGGTCTAAAAGCCGTCGTGGGTTGAAGTTGAATAAGTTCGTCACTCGTGCTAGCAAAACGTTAGGACCCGAATCAGAACAGCATCAGTTTAAAGAAGCGTATCCTATATTTAGTTATTTGATTGTTTTTATTATTTATTAGTCCAAAAGCGCTGCGTTTTTCGATCCTGTCTGAAATACAACCTGTGGACTTTCACAATGTTCTAATTTTATTTGGGGAACGAATTGAAATAGGTATAACTTTTAGTAGATGTTGTCAAATATGATTGCTATAAATAATACCTTCTACAACTGGAAGCAGTTAAAACGTTCCAGAAATCGTTTTCTATATCCGGATACTTTTTGAAACTACCACGTAAACGGTTGTTGTATGCTTAAGTTTAATCTCTATTGATGAAGAACGGATTAATTACGCTTAATTAAAGGCTTATAGGTAACTGCTGCGAAATTTCAAGCCTTTGTATGATAAAAACAAGTATATGAATGTGGTAATTATACCAAAGTAGTATTTTTATTGTAGCGATCAGTTAGTAATAGAAAACATCTGTTCTGTGTTTCCTACTTATGAGTTGTTCTTTTGTCTGTAAAGGATATATGTACTTTGGAGTCTAAAACTAAGCGTTTGTAAGAGGAAATAATATAAGGGTGTTTTGTAAAAGTCAATAGTTTACCTTTCGTTTGCGTCGTCTTGTCCAGCGCCCTGGAGAAATGTTCGTCGACCACCGACGCAGCATCCCCTTGGTAATGTGTGAATACCACGCAGTTTGCTGACACATATTGCGCCCTCGAACCTGGGGTATCTTCGGAATCTGGTTCTTCTGAAACAATAATAATAAACCGTTGTTTAAAATCGTGCCCTTTACTGTTTATGGATGGGTCGTACGAGGTGGGACCCAAAAGTTTCTAGTACAAAGATCTAAAAAGATTTATTTGATCTATAACATCAGCTAAGCGTTCAAAGCAGTGCCCATGTGAAGCTGCAAGTCCCACTGTTAATATCACTCTTGGAATTTCCTTTGGTAACCTTTTATGGACGTATCATGGTAGGATTGTTCCAGTGGGAGTAAATGTTCGCTTTCATTTAGATGTTGCTTCAACATCAGAAACAATAAAGACGGTTGTGGTAACATCTGGCGGGTAAGGTGGATGTTCAACAGTTCAACAGTCTATGAGATTAGGCCTCAGAAAGCTCTGCAGAATTCTCGCTATCTAACGAATTCGCAAAAGCTCCACCGACATGACGTGTGTGTTGTACTCAACTTTCGTACACAAAATCGATGATCAATTTTTATGTCGCCAATCATCACACTCACCTTACTTCCCACATATTGCCTCAGCTGACATTATCCTGCTTCTGATATTGAAATTAAATCTCAAAGGATTTGGTTCGATTCAAATGAAACAGGAGAAATCGTAAGCTTTGTTCGACATATGTTCACAAAGGAAGACTTCCACAGGATAATTCCATGGGTGATGGACATGGACGCTACATTGAAAGCGATGTTTCTTGTTTCAGGGTTATAATGTATTAATCTCGTGTACTATAACTGATTATTATCTCATAATATGGAGCTTTTTTTAGATAAAATTAGGATATATATTAAATTTCAATTTGAATGAACCTTTTGGTTTATCCCTTCATTTTGATCACAGTAAAAGGTTTATTTTGTAGTTTCTATTGCACGTACATAATTTGTAATTGTTAATCAATAATTACCCTGAAGACTGCAATCTTCTTCTTTTCCAGGTCGCAAGGGGCTACTAGGGGACAAACCACCAGTGGAACTGACGGATCCTGTGGAGCTGTGCGTCGTGGTGTGCAGGTAAATGTTATGGTCATTTGATAAATTAACTCCGCTGGTCGATGGCTGCGCTAAAGAGTGTGTCTCTTGCAGTCGCTGAACGTTAAACTGCAACAAAGGTATTTACGTTTCAAATTTTTCGAAAAAGTGCAGCAATGACTAATTGCAAACAGTTTAATTGAGATGTGAAATTATTTGAATCTACAATTGCAAAATTATTTCTACAAATATTGCAGAAAAGGTATTGTCACACATGGAGCTAAGTAACCAAACGTATATGAACTAATAATACGTTCAATTTTTATCTGTGTGATCAATTTAATTTGTAGTAACCAACTCAAAACTGTTTGAGGCATTTTATTTTTGAGTCCGTGATCGAATTTCGTACTTTCGTCCTTTGGTGTATATATATAGTATAAAGGGTAGAGTTAAGGAATATTATCTGTGTTGTAAAAAAGTGTCTATCAAACTGCGTTAAATTAGGGTAGCGCTTCAGTAGTAACAGGGTAAATTTCAAAGAAAACGTCAAAAGTTATTAGAATACGATATAAAAATAAACAAGAACAAAATTACTTTGAACTACACAAATAGTTGACCTGAAGTGAGACAATCCGCCAATGAAAGTATAACAAAGTATTTCTCTGCAAATTACCCATTTCTGCTTTACTTTGTAATAATTATAATACTCAAATTGCTAAGTTGTATGGTACTTAACCTTTGGGAAGTAACTGTCTATGAATGGGAAATTGTGCAGACAACGGCTTAAGTATACCTTTTATTTTCGATTACTTACCTATAACACAAAGTCTATAAAATATATTCTTATTATAGTTTATTTAAAATGTTGAAAACTATAACTTGTGGTTTTGAATATTGAAAAGAAGATTGACACAATTTTAAAATACTAAAGTTTCGGAATTTATTAGCAATGAATGCTCTTTCGTAGAAGGCTATTTGTATACAAATTGTTGAATGCTTGAAGTTGTTTCCTTAAACATTTTGTGTGATGTGTGAGGTAACAGAAGAGAGGGCGGTATGGAAATCAGTAAGGAAAGTAGAGAGAGAATTTGAAAGGTTAGTTGGAGACATAGTAATAGAAGCTGAAACAGGAGTAAATAGTGGTAAAGGAAGATCAAGATTAGATTACTGTTCAGAAAAACTGATTATGATGAATAAATAAAAACTATAAATTATGTTAGGATGAGTTTAATGCAAGTTATATTCGATTTTTTAATCGCATGTTAGCTAGCCATTTCATACAATACGATATTAATTAGCACGTGTAGGTATTAATAGAAGAGCTTTGGAACGCGGGTATTTATGTATTTGAAGTGGTGATAAAACACATGTCCGACAGGTCTCATTATTAATAGATTATTGATAATTAAATTAGTTTGGTGGAACTGGTACGAATTCCTGGAATGCCTTATTAATCATTTCGGCTGTTAATACATGTGTATGTATACTTATGTAATACATATTTATGCATAATAGTATTATGTAAGAGTGACGATACGCGAGACTGCTTTGGCCCCCTGACGTTGCGTGTGCGCCACGGATATATGCAAATTAGATAAAATTTTGACAGAATGATGACGTGTGCTCAACACAGCACGAAATCGCACCATTTCACCAACCTCATTTAAATATCTTCGTGTGAGTATCTACATTGTATGTATTACAAGCATGGTTAGCGGTACAAGAGCTGCGGAACTTAAGAACACATAATTTTTTAAACAAATAATATNTCGAAAAAGATTGTTAAAGGTGTATGTTTGGAGTGCGATGCTGTACGGGTGCGAAACATGGACGGTGGACGCGGCGGAAAGAAAAGGTTAAAAGCGTCCGAAATGTGGTGTTACATGCGGCCAGCGGGGTTGTAATTCACTTCTTAAGTGGCAAGATCATTTGGCTTGTCCACGCCACATCTAGACCGCTGGACGATACCGCTGCCGCTACTCGTTTTATAATCCTACAATTTAATAATTAATTATGAATACCTACTAACGTTTAATTATTAGGTGTATGTTTGGAGCACGGCATTGTACGGGTGCGAAACTTGGACAGTGGGCGCGGCGGAAAAGAAAAGGTTAGAAGCATTCGAAATGTTGTGTTATAGGCTGATGATGAGGATAACGTGGGTAGAAAAGGTTAGAAAAGCAGAGGTATTAGAAAGAATAGGACAACAGGTGACTTTATAGAAGTCAATAAGAAATAGGCGAGATAGGTTGGTAGGACACCTGCTCAGGCATGAAGGTCTAGTCAGAGACATATTAGAGGCAGAAACAGGAGTTAGGAGAGATAGAGGTAGACCTAGGTTAGATTACTGTTCGCAAATAGTTAAGGATGTGGGTTGTTCTAGTTTTAGGGAAATGCGAAGTTTAGCTCAGGATAGGAAAGAGTGGAGGTACGTTTTCAACCAGGCTTAGGACTGACGATCTTATGATGATGAGAGAGAAAGGTGTTATCACTGACATTTCCTTAGAGAATGATACCCTATGTTGAATACTATAAGGAAAATTCATGCATCCTGATGAGTTAAATTATTTGAAGAAACTTTAATACATTGCTTTGGGTTTTAGATTTTTGTATCTATATTTTTATTAGTTTAAATCTAAATTAGGCTTTAATTGTACTAATTAAAGGTAACTATTTTACAGACGTCATAATTACTTCGGAATTTTTATAGGAGGTGTTATGTTGTTATTTCCTAGTTTTGTAATAATTTTCTATGCAAATCGGCGATTACAAAAGGTATCCAGTCACGATGTAAATGTAAATATTCTCGTTACCATTTCAAAAATTATACTTTTGGTTTTGTTTTTCGAAAAAAAAAATACGCATATTCATATTCATAAATTCAGTTATCGCACCTGCGTAAGTCAATTTTTAAAAAATACCTACGGCCTTGCCTCAAAATTACATGCATCATACGTTATGGCTACGTACTTGCCATACATACAAGCACTTATTACACTGCAGGCCCTGATTACATACCATTGAAAACGCGCGTTTAATCAATTTTGTACCTTATTTACGCATAACTTATCTTTGCAATGCGTCCTATGAATAATTTATTAAAATAGTTTCAAAGCCGCGGTTAGCGCACACTCAAAGTTTTATTAGGTGTCGCGAGCTACAACCGAACTATGTATTTTCTCCATTCTTGGGGAGAACTTTGACATGCGTTCGGAATATTAAATTTAAGACAGATAAAGAACATTTGTGCTGATCTATCGTTTGTTCTCGCTAATGTTAACATTCATACCGAGTGTCCGTGCACTTTTGCAATCAAGGATCTACTATCCACGTACTAGGCAGCAACAGCCTCGATAAAGCAGGATAGCACTGAATTGAATCAAAATAGAGCTGTTTAAACTGGAAAATGTGCAATTAAAACTACTTAGCGAAAAGCTAAATAACGCGATTATTATAAGGTCGATAGTCGAAAAATGTAAGGTCAACAGTCAGAAAAGTGGTTGGACATACACCTCTACTCTGTCTTGACTTTCCACTTTCCCCATCATCAACTATTGACATGGATACTCAATTTGAATCCTTTCTTGGTATGCCCTATTAAGATCGATGTGGCTCTAATATGGCTACTAAATATCTGAACCCTTTCACGGCATGCGCTGTTTAGTCTGATCCGGCCCTGATATGGATACTCAATTTGAACATTTTCTTGGTACGCCCTATTAAGATTGATCTAGCGCTCATGTGGCTACTGAATATCTGCATCCTTTTACGACATGCCCCATTTAGTTTGATCTGGCCCTCTGTATGCCTTATTAAGATCTATGTGGCTCTCATGTGGCTACTAAATATCTGAACCCTTTCACGGCATGCGCTATTTAGTCTGATCCGGCCCTGATATGGATACTCAATTTGAACCCTTTCTTGGCATTCCCTATTAATATTGATGTGGTCCTTATATGTGGTTGCTTCGTCTGAACCCTATTTAGCCTAATCTGGTTCTAATGTGTCAACCCTTTAATGGGATAGTCAATTTATACTGATTTGTATATAATAAGTGTATATTCAATAACTTTATTTACCGAAATTGATATGTAATATGCGGGCACTAACGTAGATTATGATCACATTTGCGATTAGAATGGGTTTTTTCTGTATCGGCGTTTTATTCTCCGTCGCCTTCACTGAATCCTATCTGAGGCTTCAGCAGCAGAATGATGTTAACCGTTTGTAAAAGGTATACCGAAAAACTGGAAGCATTTACTTAACGACCTCGGCATAGTTAAAATTCCTGATTCCTTTAATTTATTAGATGGCCTGCTCCTCACTTTTCTTCGCCAAACTGCTTTCTAGATCTGTGTGAACTGTATTTTTACGAACAAGAAGAAAGATAATATATTTGCACTTCTTTTTTGTCTTATCATGGAGTAGAGAGAAATCCCTTAAAAATCTTTAGGTACATTAGGTATTGTCGAACGGTTTCGTTAAAGAAAATTGAAATTCAGGAACATATTTATTTTTTTCTGTGCTTATAAACTGCCGATGTAAAAAGAATCCTTAATTATTTTGGATTTTCTGGTATGAAAATTTCAGAATAGTCGTACATAAAATTTAAAATACCTACAAACAAACCACGTTTAGGGATGAGTAATCAGAATCCTTTAAGACAATACCCCATGTATCTCAGTTTCAAATTTCGATTCTTCATGTTCTAAAACTTTTTCGTCAAAAATTCCAAATCGATGTTCTTTTTGATATTATTTGGCATAAAATCAAAGCGACGGTGATGCATTAGAGGAAGGGATGGGAAAGTGGGGATTATGACAACTCATTTCCTTCAGCTACATGATTTATGTGATACAGTTCCTGTATTAAATGCTGTTGCAGTTATTATCCTATCAATTAACGAAAGAGCTAGACACATATGTGTTTAATATTGGATATATTTTGTAATGTAGATTAATTCTGCACATTATATGGGTAATGGTCATAGAAGTGAACTTGTGGTGTTATTAATTCATGCGGAATTAATTTATTTAGTCGCAGCTACATGCCGTACAAGAGAGAAATTCCATAGGCGTTTTTAAGAAAAACTGACCTTGTTGAATGAAGAAACTCTCGCGTTTCTTTGAAACAATTTGCAGCGAGTGGTAAAGGAACGACTGCCTTTTCCAACAAAGCAAACGACCGTATCGTCCGTCCAAGAAAACGGAATGCGATCACCTTTAAAACAGACTTGATTTGTCGCGACTATTACGCCAGTTACCTAGTAATGTATAGAAGTTTTTGACCTACGTTTGCAACACAATCCTAAATTATTAGGTATTTATCTGTACCTAGTCAAAATTTACTTTTCTTTTATATCTTTTTGGGAAAAAGACAGTAAATCATTGATGTTATTGTATGGAAATGCGAAATTTAGCCCAGGATAGGAAAGAGTGGAGGTATGTGTTCAACCAGTCTTAGGACTGACGACCTTATGATGATGATGATGATGAACGAGTCTGTAAGTTATTGTTAAATACTATGCTGTTGATGAGGAAACTAGACCAAGGACTTAATAGGATGAGCTTGTATTACGCTCAAAAGACTATCGTGTACCTCCCTACAAGAAAGAAGCAATCAGAATTCCATAAAAAAATTGGTAAAGGTTTTTGCTGCTAGTAAGTGAACTGATACCGTGGATAGAGGTTAGAAATGAAGAGATATGAAAAAGAATAGAAGTTTTAGTTTTATAAAAATGCGAAGATTGGATCAGGATAGGAAAAAGTGGAGGTGCGAGTCCAACCAGTCTTAGAACTGACGACCTTATGATGATGATGTATCTATAAGGAATAGTTAGAGGCATATTAAAACTCAAAACAGGAGTCATAAGGGGTAGAGGTAGAGCTAGATTAGATTTTGCTCGCAAATAGTTAAGGATGTGGGTTGTTTTAGTTTTAGGAAAATGCGAAGATTAGCTCAGAATAGGAAAGAGTGGAGTACATGTCCAACCAGTCTTAGGACTGATGACCTTATGATGATGAAGTGAACTGATACAGTCCTGATTCGGGTCTAAAAGCCGTCGTGGGTTGAAGTTGAATAAGTTCGTCACTCGTGCTAGCAAAACGTTAGGACCCGAATCAGAACAGCATCAGTTTAAAGAAGCGTATCCTATATTTAGTTATTTGATTGTTTTTATTATTTATTAGTCCAAAAGCGCTGCGTTTTTCGATCCTGTCTGAAATACAACCTGTGGACTTTCACAATGTTCTAATTTTATTTGGGGAANAAATTTCAATTTGAATGAACCTTTTGGTTTATCCCTTCATTTTGATCACAGTAAAAGGTTTATTTTGTAGTTTCTATTGCACGTACATAATTTGTAATTGTTAATCAATAATTACCCTGAAGACTGCAATCTTCTTCTTTTCCAGGTCGCAAGGGGCTACTAGGGGACAAACCACCAGTGGAACTGACGGATCCTGTGGAGCTGTGCGTCGTGGTGTGCAGGTAAATGTTATGGTCATTTGATAAATTAACTCCGCTGGTCGATGGCTGCGCTAAAGAGTGTGTCTCTTGCAGTCGCTGAACGTTAAACTGCAACAAAGGTATTTACGTTTCAAATTTTTCGAAAAAGTGCAGCAATGACTAATTGCAAACAGTTTAATTGAGATGTGAAATTATTTGAATCTACAATTGCAAAATTATTTCTACAAATATTGCAGAAAAGGTATTGTCACACATGGAGCTAAGTAACCAAACGTATATGAACTAATAATACGTTCAATTTTTATCTGTGTGATCAATTTAATTTGTAGTAACCAACTCAAAACTGTTTGAGGCATTTTATTTTTGAGTCCGTGATCGAATTTCGTACTTTCGTCCTTTGGTGTATATATATAGTATAAAGGGTAGAGTTAAGGAATATTATCTGTGTTGTAAAAAAGTGTCTATCAAACTGCGTTAAATTAGGGTAGCGCTTCAGTAGTAACAGGGTAAATTTCAAAGAAAACGTCAAAAGTTATTAGAATACGATATAAAAATAAACAAGAACAAAATTACTTTGAACTACACAAATAGTTGACCTGAAGTGAGACAATCCGCCAATGAAAGTATAACAAAGTATTTCTCTGCAAATTACCCATTTCTGCTTTACTTTGTAATAATTATAATACTCAAATTGCTAAGTTGTATGGTACTTAACCTTTGGGAAGTAACTGTCTATGAATGGGAAATTGTGCAGACAACGGCTTAAGTATACCTTTTATTTTCGATTACTTACCTATAACACAAAGTCTATAAAATATATTCTTATTATAGTTTATTTAAAATGTTGAAAACTATAACTTGTGGTTTTGAATATTGAAAAGAAGATTGACACAATTTTAAAATACTAAAGTTTCGGAATTTATTAGCAATGAATGCTCTTTCGTAGAAGGCTATTTGTATACAAATTGTTGAATGCTTGAAGTTGTTTCCTTAAACATTTTGTGTGATGTGTGAGGTAACAGAAGAGAGGGCGGTATGGAAATCAGTAAGGAAAGTAGAGAGAGAATTTGAAAGGTTAGTTGGAGACATAGTAATAGAAGCTGAAACAGGAGTAAATAGTGGTAAAGGAAGATCAAGATTAGATTACTGTTCAGAAAAACTGATTATGATGAATAAATAAAAACTATAAATTATGTTAGGATGAGTTTAATGCAAGTTATATTCGATTTTTTAATCGCATGTTAGCTAGCCATTTCATACAATACGATATTAATTAGCACGTGTAGGTATTAATAGAAGAGCTTTGGAACGCGGGTATTTATGTATTTGAAGTGGTGATAAAACACATGTCCGACAGGTCTCATTATTAATAGATTATTGATAATTAAATTAGTTTGGTGGAACTGGTACGAATTCCTGGAATGCCTTATTAATCATTTCGGCTGTTAATACATGTGTATGTATACTTATGTAATACATATTTATGCATAATAGTATTATGTAAGAGTGACGATACGCGAGACTGCTTTGGCCCCCTGACGTTGCGTGTGCGCCACGGATATATGCAAATTAGATAAAATTTTGACAGAATGATGACGTGTGCTCAACACAGCACGAAATCGCACCATTTCACCAACCTCATTTAAATATCTTCGTGTGAGTATCTACATTGTATGTATTACAAGCATGGTTAGCGGTACAAGAGCTGCGGAACTTAAGAACACATAATTTTTTAAACAAATAATATATTAATTAAAACACTTAATCAATTTAGAATGCGACGCTGTAAACGTTTTTCAAACATTAAACAATGGATAAACGTTGCTTTTAACGCCGCGCATTGTGCTGCTCTAGCCGCAGCTCTAATCTCTAATATAAACTTACCCTTATAGACCATCAAGGCTCATTCGCGTGAGCGGCGAGACAGTTAGATTTTTGAAGTATGCCAAAAGAAATCGCGGGTTATTTTTCCAACAAAGTAGTTTAAATAATTGCATAGACCAATTCCACAACTAAATATTGAGATAATTGGGGATAGCCGACATATCCTTATGAAGGATAATTTAATAAAACGCAGGAAAATAAAAAAGAAAGTTTAAAAACGTTCGAAATGCCGTGTTACAGGCGAATGATGAGGGTACCGTGGATAGAGAAGGTTAGAAATGAAGAGGTATTAGAAAGAATAGGAGAACAGAGGACTCTATGGAAGTCAATAATAAATAGGGAGATAGGTTAGTAGGACACCTTCTTAGGCATGAAGGTCTAGTCAGAGACATATTACACGCAGAAACGGGAGTTAGGAGGGGTAGAGGTAGACTTAGATTAGATTACTGTTCGCAAATAGTTAAGGATGTGGGTTGTTCTAGTTTTAGGGAAATGCAAAAATTAGCTCAGGATAGGAAAGAGTGGAGGTGCGTGTCGAACCAGTCTTAGGACTGACGCCCTTATGATGATGATGAATATGAGTATTATATGCCTAAATTTTTACAAAAATTAGGGATACCCAAAAATAAGGGATACCCTGATTAAGTTGCGTCTTGAAAAGGGCTTTATTTAACTAAAAATAGGGTATAAAATAAAATGTATTCCTTTTTCTCTCTCATTTATTCCTTGAAGGTAACGTTTCCGTTTGAATAGCAGAGATCTGATTTTTGAAACCATCCTACGAAGTGTGTAAATACTATGAGTTAATATTTCCATTGGTAATTTTTTAATTTGAATGTGTTTTAAAAGGGACAATTGTTTTATTATATTTTTCCTGTTTTATTTGTATTAAATGTTTCTTCACAAGTACACCTACGATTGTCTTAAAATTATACTGGTAAATCAGAATTAGATTAAAAACGAAAAATTTATTTTTTATATGTGTAGATTTTTAGCTGAACATAGGTATCCTCTTAATATCTACTTTGTATTTATCTTTTTAATTTTTGGAGTCCTTCAATGTTTCCTAGAATTAAATATTGCAATAGTTTAGAAAAAGGGTCAGTAAATATTATCTATATCTTGCATGTCTAAGTAATAGAAATGAAACAAATATTTCATTAGTATAAAAAAAGCAAAACAAATTTATTTACATTGAATATCATTATAGGCAGTAAAATATGTTGTTAATGACCTTATAGAAATGGATTATAATTTGAATCGCTAATGTCGGCTACTTGTTGCACTGTTGAAAGTAATTCCTTAAGATTTGCTTTTTTTATTTTCCGCACAATTAATTATCTACAAAGCTCTGGTTCGGTCAACTAAATATACCCATGCAATGCTAGTCATGAAGGAACTTATATTGTAAAATATTGATTTGCTATCTATTCTATTTTTTCTTGTCAGAAAATTAACTATACCAGTAGTCAAGGAGCACAAGATGAGTCAACCTTTTATCAAGTCATCGTCGGTAATGATAATTTTTAATTGAAGTTGTTAATCGTTTTATTAATGCTTTTGCAGTCCAACTCTGGTGCAAATGAAACTGTCGCCATCAATCATAACTCGAGAGAGATAGAAAGTTATAAATGCACCGTGTGTCTAGTTTAACCGATCGATTGTTTGTAGACTTCAACAGAATTCAAATTACAATGATGACAAGAAGTTGTTTTTGATTCGAACGTATAATAATGAAGTTCAGCGGCGGTCAGTAATAATCATAATGACCGGAGTAGAACTGCATTAGAATTTCATGTTTGATTGACTATTTCTGATTAATGTTGAGAATGTGTCCAAGGATTGAGATGGTCAATTATTATTTAAGTAGGTACCTAATACTGAAAACGGTAGAAAAAGGAATGCATACATAGGATTTGTAGATTTAGAAAAAGATTTTGACAATGTTAAATGTGACAAAATGTTAAATATACTTAAAAATATAGGGGTGAGTTACAGAGATAGAAGCGTGATACTTAGTTTGTATAGAGCAATAGAGAGTTATAGAGCTGGGGCTACAACGTAGAGAATTAAATATTAAGAAAAGACTCAGACAGGAATGCACACTGTCACCGCTACTTTTGAATCTATACATTGATCAACATCATTAAAGACAGTACAACTGTAGGGATAGATATACAGGGGCAAACGATTAGTATGCTTAGATTTGCAGATGATATGGCAGTATTAGTATCTAGCAAGGAGGAGTTGGAGATAACTCTAAATAAAATGGAAGCGGTATTGACAAAACAGTTGTGTATGAAAATAAATAAAAGTAAATAGTGAATATAAAGATAGGAGACGAAAAATGGTGGCTGCTATTAGATATCTAGGAAGTCAGATAAGTCAGGGCGGAAGGACTAGTAGGGATATACAGCAGAGGATAGCGTAAGGTGGTGTTAGATGCAAATGATGAGGATACCGTGGATAGAGAAGGTTAGAAATGAAGAGATATTAGAAAGAATAGGAGAACAAAGGACTCCATGAAAGTTAATAAGAAATAGGCGAGATAGGTTAGCACGACACCTTCTCAGGCATGAAGGTCTGGTCAGAGATATATTAGAGGCAGAAACGGGAGTTTGGAGGGGTAGAAGTAGATCTAGATTAGATTACTGTTCTCAAATGGTTAAGGTTGTGGGTTTTTCTAGTTTTAGCTGAGGATAGGAGAGAGTGGAAGTGCGTGTCCAACCAGTCTTAGGACTGACGACCTTATGATGATGACGACCTATTCTGTAAAAGAGAGTGCGATATTCCATTGGACAGATATCCGGATAGGATCAGGCTCTGTTACGAAAGTCGTATTACGATATCTACACCTTGTTCCCTGTGAAAGGAGTTCCCTATTATAATAGTCCTTGCTTATTCCTGTAAGGTCCTTATTTGATTATATATTCGTAGCCTGTTAGGGGATTCTTTTCTTAACTGTATTCGACCCTGACTTGAAAGTCCTATTAAAAACCTGCATGGAACGTCTAATTTACCAAATAACCCTGAAGAAAAATGCATGGTAAAAGTTTAAGACAAATTATAAATCGCAAATCAAAATCCTATTGCGAATCCTGCAAGATATCCTGATTTGCGCCATACAATCCAATATTGTCGGGATCCTAATGGGATCATGTAAAGCAGCCTAATCTTCCTTTTACAGGTTTATCTAGTTAGGAGCCTTCAAGGCACCCCAATCT